GCAAAGGGCGCCGCTACTGGGAGCAAGACCACTACTAGGTGTTCCTGGCCTTGCTACTAGGAACAAAAAGCTACTAGGAGCAAAGGGCATTGCGATAAGGTTTGCAGATGTTGCACAAAATACCAGTGGAAACCGATCCTCGACCAACACTAGTCGTACCCGATTTTAAATCCAAGTAATCAATGTCAACGGTAAATAAAAGCGCTTCAAGCCGCCCTGCGTTTATCGCCAGCAAAAACGATGTCTAAAGAAAAAAAGGAACGAAAGAACGAAACGAGAAAGGGCCAAGGTTCGAGGAAAAATCTGAGAAGGCCAAGGCACTCGCTACTGAGCAAGAAGCTACTAGGAGCAAAAACGCTGCTAGGGGCCTGTGGTCTCACTACTAGTAACAAGAAGCTACTAGTAGCTCCTGGCATTACTACTAGTAGCAAGAAGCAAGGTCTGAAAAGGCCAAGGCACTCGCTTCATCAATCCGAGCGCTGCTCACACTCAGGGAGAGCGCGCTGTCGCTGCCGGTACTCAGTGGCACCGCTTTGCGGCGTGCGGCAACATCCAGTCCACGTCGTAGGAGGCCTGGCGAGAACACCCTACAGCGTGTAGAACCAAGATCTTATGAGTAGAAAAAGATCTTAGTTTTCTACCCGCACTCAAGCCAGGACGGGGAGTAGGCCGTAGCTACGAACCTAGCCACTACCTACAAGCCTCTTCAAAGAAGTTTCCCTGCCCCTCAACTTGAAGATTGAGTCTGAATCAGGTGGAGCGCGTTTTTTCTGTGAGTTTTTTGGCGTTTTTCTGGGAGTGATTTGCAAGCATCAGGAGCAGCAGAAAGGTCAGGGGACAAAGCAGCAAAGCCAGCGGGAGGGAGAGAGCGAGACAGTGACACAGGGAGGGAGCAGAAAAGGGAGAAGTAGGAGTGAGGAGAGAGGAACGCACACAGGCATGTTGCTGCATTGGAATGGCGTCTTCCTCCTCTAAATTTTAGAGGCCCTCGGGTGGCTCGCAAAAGGTGTGCACCGTTGGAATGGCAACTTCCTCCTCTAAATTTATTGTTGGGCGCCTCATGCGCCGTTGGAATGGCACCTTCCTCCTTGGGATTCAACTCTAAAAACTTCCATAGAGTGGCACACAAAAGGTATGCACAGTTGGACTGGCACCTTCCCAGCAGCACTGGGTCTTTACTGGAACCAGCGTAAAAATGGAAGCTGGCCACTTGCAGCAACACACGCTCGTTAGAGCTTGGCCACTGCAAGCAGCACAGCTTTGGAAGCTGGCCACTTGCAGCAGCACAGGCTCTCTACTGCAAGCAGCGCAGTAAAGCCAGCGACTTGCAGCAACACTTGCAGCGCTTCAAGCTGCCTATGTGCAATCGCAAAAGCGAAAGTAAAGGCAGAAAGGCAGAAGCAAAAGCAAATGCAGAAGCAAAAGCGAAAGCGAAAGCAGAAGCACAAGCAAAAGCACAAGCAGAAGCAAAAGCACAAGCAGAAGCAAAAAGCAAAAGCAAAAGCACAAGCAAAAGCAAAAGCAGAAGCAACTGCAAAAGCAAAAACAAAAGCCATAGCAAAAAGCAAAAGCATAAAAAGTGTGAAAAAAGAACTCATATTTAAAAAGCTACACCAGCACAGACCCAGATAGCTAGGCAGAATCCCACGACCTGTTGACATGCGACTAGCTGGAACAAGAACGTACGCAGCCTGCACAACCAGCTTACGGCACCTCCACAACGCGCACAATCAGCTGACACCAGCACCGGTGCGCTTTGCCAGCTGACAACACCGGCGGCGGCGCCAGCACCCGACCAGCGCCGCCGCCCGTCTTAAAAGCCCGCTTAGCCAGCTCACAGCACCAGCGCCCGGGACCACAACACCAGCACCGACACCCTTCCGAAAGCGCGCGCACCCATACCTATCCCTATTTGGGAATAACAACGTATGATCTTGCGCGTATATGATTATGCGCACAAAAGTACGTGCACAAACGGCAAAGCCCGTAGGCTTCACTCACCCAAGGCCAGGCAGTATCCAGCACGAATAGCTTCGCTATCTGGGAAAAAGATCCGAAAATAGACCCCCTCACATACGCAAGCTACACCACCAGCACCGGCGCCCAGCACCAGCACCAGCACCGGAACCGGCACCCGGCAGCAGCACCAGCGCCAGCGACCTGTCTTCACCACGTGCACAGCCAGCTCACACCTGTCTCCACCACGCACCAGCACCGGCGCCAGCACCAGCACCGGCACCAGCAACCTGTCTCCACCACGTGCACAGCCAGCTCACAGCACCAGCACCAGCACCGGCACCCAGCACCAGCAACCTGTCTCGAAAGCGCGCACGGGCAACTCATTGTTATTTGAAGTAAGAACCCCATAGCTTCGCAATCTGGGGAAAAATAACAAAGATCCTAGAGAAATACCGGTTCCGTCTGAATCATTTGGTTCCTACATTCTTTGGAAAACTTAAGTTGTATAGATCGTTTTGGTGTGCAGTGATCAATCTATCTGCGTCATGGAACCATAGACTGCGCAAGACAGCTCTTCTGTTGGAGGCCATCGCTACTTGGTTGGAGGCCATCGCTACTAGGTTGGAGGCCATTGCTTCTAGGTTCCAAAATTCAAGCACTCAGGTCTCAGAATCAAACTGCGCCTTCCAATACATCACAATATCCGCGGAGAACGGACCAGAAGAATGCAGGAATAGAGTTCTGTGCCAAAGCCTTTCCGGCAAGAAAGGCGAGAAAGAAATGTCGTGACAGTCGTCCACTCTCAGTTTGCTCTGCGATCACTTCTGCGTCACCGCCATGCCTCTCCTACTTGCTTCGCATCCGCGATCTCCAAAAGCGTCAGTGCCATCCCAGGCTTTTCACATGCAACAGCCAAGTCGACACCTGAACTTGCAAAAGAAAAGGAAAAAAGAAAGTGCTCTCAGCCGACATGCAAAAAAAGGCACACCTGTTCTGATGAAAACATCTCAAACCATGGTCTCCCAAAGAAAGGAAGGCAAAACATACTTGGCGTATCTTGGCGTACGCAAATTGCAACTCTACAGTCAGAAGGACTCAGAAGGAGCAACACTCATCTCTCATCACCCATCTCTCATCAGTCGCATACCGGTTCACCTCGTCGCACCTGAAATCTAGTCCAAGCGTCAGTTGCCATGTTCTCCATATCCTAGGTCAAAGTTCACCTCCATTGGAGCTCCGCGCCTGTGCTGCTACTCATAAACGGAACTGCGTCTCTTTTCTGCTTTTCTTTAGGACCTTTTGGCCTTTCCTTGATCCTTCCTGTCTTCCTTTCTTTTCTTCCATTTTCTTTCAGCTCTTGGTCCATGTGCTGCATGTGTTTCTATGGCCGGTCTTGAAGGAGTGACTTCTTGCTTCTGGTCACATACAGATCGCCTTTCAAAGCACCCCTGAGGCGCGTCCAAATGGCCTTTCTTCAGACAAGGAACTGCACTAAAACTTGGACGCCAATGACATCGCTTTTGCGGATGGCTTTCGAGAGCTGGCCCAGCAATTCCTTTTGGGCTCGCCGGGCCTGGCCAACCGAGGTGAGAAACGAAGAAACGAAGCTTCTTGTTATTAATAGCTTCTTGTTACTACTAGTAAGGCACTTGTTACTAGAAGCGATGCACTTGTTCCTAGTAGCTTCTTGCTACTAATAGCTTCTTGTTACTATAGGCCCATGAGATCAAGGATGCCCAGGTGCAACACATGAAGGCATAATTATGCAACACATGGGCATCAAGCTGCATTCGTCGCATTCAACCACAAAGATTCCGCACCTCGGCAACTGTGTGCAAGGGTCCCCATGGTACACCCTCGGCCGACTCGGGGACATAGCCAGGCAAGGTCGTTGGCCTGAACAGTTGATCAGTAGTTCTTTTAGTCGTTTTCCTTCTTCCAATGGTGCGCTGAGCTGGTGCATCCATCCCAACACCTCGATAGGTGTCTTCTGTCCCTTCTTGTGATCGTCCTTTCTATATTCACACAACCAGTCGGACCAGTCGCATGGCTCATTCCAGAATTTCATTTAGGCTCGCAAAACACTGGCGGTCGTGTTGCTGCCGTGCCTGGCCCGAGCAGCAAGGACACTCCTCTCTTCGATCTCTGCCCAGGTCAATGCACGATCTTCCTGCCAGCGATGACGCGATTCCACGGAAAGCGAGTCCCCTCGGAGAGAGAGAGAGAGAGACACGAATGATCCTCGTTTCCTGTTTAGTGTTCCATGGACCAAATCGGCAAATGAGTGGAAACCTCGCTTTCTTTCCCCACAGTGGGTGCAGCCTGCATTACCCTCCAAGTAAAAGCAAATCGAGTTTAGATCTTTCTATATAATTTGCCTTCTTTCGCGGGACTTTTAGCCATTCAAACGTTGCCTCCTTCGCCGATGACAGCACCTGGATCACCTGCAGCTTCTTGGATTCGGCGTTGTGCTCCCACTAGATGGTAGTTGCTTTCTCTGCAATTCAAAGCCCGACATGAGAACTTATCCAAATGTAATCTCGAGTAACTCAGAATTGCCTTGACAAAGACAAATGTTAGGTTGTTTTGTGGTCTTCTGAAAAGTAGCCCCAATATGAAAATGAGCGAAAGGAGGCAAACGAGTCACTGCCAGAATGCGTGCCTCGTGAAACTCTGGCAGCTTTGGATCTAATGCATTCTCCTGTTGCGCTGCCAAGCCTGGAAAGGTCTCGCTCAAATAAACAAAACGAACAAAGCAATGCAAGCAATGCCGCAATGCTATATTGCATTGCAGCTTGCAGTGTTCGGACTTTGACAAAGAAAAAGGCCAAAAGGCCTCAGGTCAGGTGATTTATCCCTCTCTTTCCTTTTGAGAGTGTATCTAAACGTGAGATGGGAGGAAGTTAAGTCACAAACATGAAGCTACTAGATGCCAAGAGGCCGCAAGAAACAAAAGAAATAAGAACAACAACTTTACAAAAAGGAAAGGGGTCTAAAAACAATTAAGAAACATAAGAAACGAAAGGAAACAACATGGAAAGGGGTCTCTGAGATTTGAAGGAATTCATTTGCATCGTGTTTCCTTGTGAGGCAGCAGGCGTCCTCGTTGCTTCGAATCGCGCCTGCTGCATCGATGATGCACTGGAGACGGTGCGCCTGTCAGCTGACTAAACGAACAAAGCAACGGCCACCAACCTACTAGCGATGGCCACTAGTACCAGCACGAGCTTGTCAATGAGCGCAGCGTGTTTTTAAAAATACTGTAGACGGATGCTTCTACAATAACTTGTCTTGTCCCGAGCGGTCACTGTACTTCAGAAGCCATGCTAATTAATTCTCTGATGGCAATGCAGAAACATGAAAGGGGAACGCTCTTATTTCTGCTAGCAGTCGCTAGGTGAGTCTGAGAGCCCAAGAACAAGAAAATAGGAACTAGCAAAGAGACACAAAAAGGTTTATATAGAGGTCTAGAGATTCTAGTCACAAGAAAATCTGCCTTTGTTACAGTAAGAGGTCGGTTCAAGGCTCAAGGCCTTCCAAAAGATTCTCCTGAACGCTCATTGTCCTTTCCTTCCTTTGTTTTTGTTTTTTTCGTTGGACCTTTTGAATCATTAGACCTTTTCTTTTTCTTTCTTCTTATGTCCGCTTCTTTTCGCGAAAAAGGCACCTCAGCATGCTTCAGCACCTCTTCCTTCCGATTCTCCAAAGACCACGCACCACGCTCCAGCAACAACGCCGCGGCCTCCTGTGAGATTCGTTTCTCATGGCCTGCAACCTACTAGTGATGGCCTCCACCCTAGTAGCAATGGCCTCCAACCTAATAGCTGTTCAACGCAATCTACGTTCGTTTTCTTTCAACCACTTCTACATTGGGAACAGGATGAGCAAACTTGTCTACTTCAAGCAGAATAGAAACAGGGCAGGACTAGCCAACATGTTTGCAACATGTTTGAATGCTTCTATATGTAATGTCAGAAACACTTTCAGTTTCCAATAGTAATTTCTGGAACAGGAATCTTCACCACGCGAACATTCATTGCATCATTGATTTTCTTCCAAAGGTCATGCTTCCAATTTGGAGAATCCTACTTGTATGATCCGAAAGCGACAATTAGTAGGGTGGAAGCCATGGTCTCCAGGTCTTGTGTCAGATCTCCTCCTCACCACTGCGAGCCGCCACATGTAGTGCAGTACAACCCGTCAGCTTTTCGCGCTGCGCGCAATCCGCACCACGCTGCAGAAGCTCTCGCAGGAGCTTCACTTGGCCTCCAACACAAGCGACTCATTTGACACACGACATCAGCGATGTCCAGCAACCATTGAACCTTGTCTGGCATCCCTGCAACCAAGCTAAATGCAAGCAAAAGCATAAAGAACAGTAACAAGAAGCTACTAGTTACTAAGGAGCAAAGGGCATCGCTACTAGGAGCAAGGACGCTACTAGGGGCTCCTGGCCTTACTAATAGGAGCAAGAAGCTAGTAGGTTGCCCGCCTCGAACGCAAGCTACAACCACTGCTTGTTGGCACCTTTCAGCCATGCGCACGACCTGCAAGGTTTCAAGTAGCACTAAGTAGCCTAAAAACCGTTCGACAAACAGATTGTGATAAATGATGATTAAATGCTCCATGTTTGACCCAAAGGAAGCGGTTCCATCGACCTTGTCACGGATGTCACGGCTCTGAGCCCGACTCGGACCTGCAAGGTGCTACACTCCTCATCGCGATTGAAGGCGACGTGGCCGTCCGTGAGCTCCAAGAGGAAGATTGCTTCCTGTGACATAGAAAGAAGAAGCTACTAGTAACAAAGGGCATCGCTACTAGCAACAAGGACGCTATCAGTGGCTCCTGGCATCGCTACTAGGAGCATTCTTACTACTAGGAACAAGAGGACTCCGCAGCATAGCGCATAGCAGAGCTCTCAAGCAGCTTTCTCCTAAACTGAAAACATAATACCAAATATGAATGTATATAATATTTCAAACATAAACTCTATTGCATTCAGCAAGCCCGAACCGGAATCGAACCGCGAACCGTGGATCGAATCGGAAAGCCCTTACCAGCCGAACCGAAATCAGCCACAAACAAATTGAAACTGAGGACAGCCTGTCTTCTCTGCTCCCGCTGAGCAAACTGTTTGGGTTCGTGTGTTCCAACTCCAAACAAAAGTCATGCTACAGCTGGCACCAAGCCATCTGCGTGCCTAAAATTGCACAAGTAGCTCCGAGAACTCCAGTGTTTGAAAAATTGGTCGCACCACGGCGAAACTTGAGGCCAGTGGAAAACCATGCCAAAGAAGAGACAAGCCGATGGATCATTGAATATCGAAAAACAAAAAACTCGGGCATCGCTACTAGGAGCAAGGACGCTACTGGGGGCGAATTTGGGGACTGATAAGTCGGACATGGCCCGGTTCTGTCGATGTCAAGCAGCTAGTGGACACATCTGGCGCTTCGTGACGGCCAACAAATCGCTGCTTCAACCACGGGCGTCACCACATGGAGCTACGAAGACACGAAAATCAAAGAGGCCTCCAACCTACTAGCGATGCCCTTGCTCCTAGTACGGCCAGGAGCCCCGTTCGTAGCATCCTTGTTTGGCGAAAAGAAATCCAATTCGAAGTCCCGAACCGAACCGGTTCACCTGACGAATCAAAACGAACCGGTTTCGTTCATTCCAAATGTTCTTTTCGCATCAGCTGTGCTCTGATCAGCTCTATCCATCTTGCCTTTCTGTTTGAGAACATAAAAGGTGAAATGCCTGAAGACCTCAAGAAAACAGGGGTCTTGTTTGCAGTAGCAAGGGGTTTTCAAAGAGGCCTAGCTACAAACCTCAAAAGAAAGAAGTAGTGAAGAAAGTGCGTGTGTGTGTGTGTGTGTGCTTAAAGTGAACCTAGACAGTAACACGTGCTTCCTCGAAAGCTCGAAATCGAGAGTTTGCTGTCCTCATAGAAACCTTCCAACTTACTACCGATGTCCTCCAAGCTAGAAACTACTAGCGGCTGTCCTTGTAGAAACCTTCCAGGACAGCCCACTCCACTGGATTCACCAAGCTCTCCTTGGGACCCTTGGAACTTCCATGCAGGGCTCCAGGCCTCACGAGATCACTTCCCACCGTCGCCGTGTTCGAGGACAAACATTGTCATGTCTTTAGAAAGTCATCTGCACCCACGGGCGCCTTGCTGGCATCCTTGCAGAGTAATAATGTGCCGAAAGTGATGCACCTCACACAGAAATGACAAGGAAGACTTAGAGACAAACGTTGTATGTGACATGGGGTGGTGGAGTCAAAGACACCTTGCTGACCTTGTTTCAATGTGTTTGCACAATGTTCCTCGCAATTAGGTTGGAGGCCATTGCTAGGTTGGAAGGTTGCGATAAGGTGCACCAATTCGACCTCGCCTCGGTTCACCGCGCAACGCATTCTCACGGGGTCAGCGGCTCGGATGCCCTCCATGAGCTCCGCACGGAGCGCCTCAGCGAGCCAGGCGAACGGAAAGAAGAACGAAAGAAGCAGAGAACGAAATGCAAAAAAAGGTCCAAAGGACAAGCAAGCTACGAGTAACAAGGGCATCGCTAGCAAGGGGCATCGCTACTAGCGAGACTCGCTTGGCCACCACACTGCGTGAAGTTTCAAGAGCTGCACCGGGTTTGAGGAGACACGGAAGGGCGTTGCTTCACCTCACATCATCTGCACTCCTTCATACTCCTTCTGTTCTTCTCTCGAACAAGAAAGAAAGGTCCAAAGGTCTTTTCTTTTCTTCTTTGTTTCCTTTCTGACCTTTAGATCTTGCCGGACCTCTCATCGAAAAGCCTTTGTTCAACTCATCTTCGGTGCTGCTCGTGAAGGCTACATGAGTCAGCAAGGCCTTCAACAGGACGGCTTTGAAGTCAAGTCTATCGCACAGTAAAGCGACTTCTCGACTTGTGAGTGGAGGCCATCGCTTCTAGGCTGGAGGCAATCGCTATTGCCATGGCTCTTAGGGTGGAGGGGTTGAAGGCCATCGCTAGTAGGTTGGAGGCCATCGCTCTTAGGTTGGAGGCCATCGCTATTAGGCTGGAGGCCATCGCAATTAGATTGGAGGCCATCGCTAGTAGGTTGGAG